GCTAAAATTAGTATGGCTTTGTTCCCTGCTATCATTGTATACTAGTTAGAGGTGATTTTTTTTTAAATTGAGAGATATAAGGAATCCATCATGAGGTCAAATAACCACAAGTAACTACAAAAATACAATGAATACTAATATAAATATTAGGGCTGTCAAGCGATTAAAAAAATGAATTGCACTGTTAAAAAATAATAGAATACATTTATTTAAATATTTTTGGATGTTTTCTACATTTTCAAATATTCTGATTTCAATTACAACACAGAATACAAAATGTTTATATTTATTTACATAAATATACTTAATATTTATTTTTGCAAGTATTTGCACTGTAAAAACACAAAAGAAATAGTATTTTTCAATTCACCTAATACAAGTACTGTAGTGCAATCTCTTTATCATGAAAATGCAATTTACAAATGTAGAATTGTGTACAAAAAAACTGACATTCAAAAATAAAAGTGTAAAATTTTAGAGCCTGCAAATTCACTCAGTCCTACTTCTTGTTCAACCAATCGCTCACGCAAAGAAGTTTGTTTACATTTGCAGGAGATAATGCTACCCGCTTCTTGTTTACGTCACCTGAAAGTGAGAACAGGCGTTCTAATGGCACTGTTGTAAGCTGGTGTCACACAATATTCACATGCCAGATGCGCTGAAAATTCACATGTCCCTTCACGCTTCAACCAGCAGTCCAGAAGACATGCATCCATGTATATAATGGGTTCTGCTCGATAACAATCCACAGCAACACAGACCAACGCATGTTCATTTCCATTATCTGAGTCAGATGCCACCAGCAGGAAGCTGATTTTCTTTTCTGGTGGTTCGGGTCCTGTAATTTCCGCATCTGAGTGTTTCTCTTTTAAGACTTCTGAAAGCAAGCACCACATGCCATCCCTCTCAGATTTTGGAAGGCACTTCAGATTTTTAAACCTTGGGTCGAGTGCTGTACCTACCTTTAGAAATCTCACATTGGTACCTTCTTTGTGTTTTGTGAAACCTGCAGTGAGATTCTTAAAATGAACAACATGTGTTGGGTCATCATCCGAAACTACTATAACAGGAAATATATGGCAGAATGCAGGTAAAACAGAGCGGGGACATATAATTCTCCCCCATGGCGTTCAATCAGAAATTTAATTAATGCATTATTTTTTTAATGAGCGTCATCAGCATGGAAGCATGTCCTCTGGAATGGAGGCCGAAGCATGAAGGGGTATACGAATATTTAGCATATCTGGCATGGAAATACCTTGCAATGCTGGCTACAAAAGTACCATGCAAATGCCTGTTCTCACTTTCTGGTGACACTGTAAATAAGAAGAGGCAGCATTATCTCCCTTAAATGTAAACAAACTTGTTTGTCTTAGGGATTGGCTGAACAAGTAATAGGACTGAGTGGAGTTGTAGGCTCTGAAGTTTTACATTGTTTTGTTTTTGAGTGCAGTCGTAACAACAACAACAAAATCTATATTTTACGTTGCACTTTCATGATAAAGAGATTGCACTAGTGTTTGTATGAAGTGAATTGAAAATACTATTTCTTTTGTTTTATCATTTTTACAGTGCAAATATTTGCAAGCAAAAATATACAAATTGAAATTTGATTTCAATTACAACACAGAAAACAACAATATATATGAAAATGTAGAAAAACATCCAAAATATTTAATACATTTCAATTGGTATTCTATTATTTAACAGTGCAATTAAAACTGCCATTAATTTTTTGAGTTAATCGCATGAGTTAACTGTGATTAATCGACACCCCTAATAAATATAGATACTGAGTCACAAATAACTCCAGTTGCTTCCTATGGGCCTGATCCCCAACTGACCATCTATACTGGGAGTCATATGTGCTCAGCACCACTCAGTCCCAAAGTGGGCATAAATGCCACATCTATTTGATACAATAAGTCAATGGCTCTCATTTGGCATGTCCAAGCACACATGGTGGTGCCATCAGACCCACCACTGGCAATCTATAGGGATATATTAAGTCTCTCAAAAAATAATATTGCATTGGTATCAAAAGTTTCATATTCTTATTGGCTAACCTATGCATTGCTAATTAAACCGTTAAAACCCTAGAAAAGTGTGAGAATAAAAGCAGTCAAGAGAAGGTAATGTATTTGACCTGATCTGATGTGTACATACAAATGATACAATAGACTGGGCAGAATCAAATTACTGCAGTCCAGACAGCTCCTTTCATGGAATGAGGGGAGATGGGGTTCAGGGACCTCAGAGTCTGAACCACTATACTGCTACTAAAGCTAAAAGCAAATGTACTCAATACTTCCATGCTTCAATAGAGTTGTGAGCACTTATACAAGCATTGAGCATAGTGCTCAGCCCCTGCACATTAAAAGGTATCTTCCCTCCGGCCTCACACCTTTTCAGCTTAGCTCATTTCATCCTGATTTTGCATCTAATATTAAGCATTTGTGTTTGGCTTTGGGAAGGTCAGCTGTGATTAATTTCCCTTAACTGAATTGCATTCTGCACTTTAAAAAAAAAAAGTAAACCTGTGCTAAGTAACAGGTAAAACACAATCATCTCAACCTCATGGAATATATCTCATCCTGTGTTAAGGGAACAAGTGAGGAGAACAGGTACTCACCATAGTCTGTAATTTAGAAAATATGCAAAGATAGAACAAAAGCAATTTTAGTCTGAGTTATAGAAACACTATTAACAATAAACAACAATAATGCCATGGAGATGAGCTTGAAGGTTGGGAGTTTCAAGAACCTATGGGACTTAGGTATTGAATTCCCATTGAATTTGAATGGGAATTGGATGCCTAGCTTCCTTCAACCTCTTTCAAAATCCCAGCATAAATCCCAAGAGAACACAGTCTACATGGAGTTGAGAATACTGGTGGAAATATTATAGGTATCAACCTTTTAATCAAAGCAGACATCTCTACCTTCCTGGAATTATACAAATGTCTTAATCTGAACCATTCAATTTCCCATATGATTATATCTTTGGTTATACTGCCCTCAAGTGGCAAAAAAGAAATCCCTTCATCGAATATAGTTTATTGTATTGAATAATTTATCTATCAGCTGCTTAACACATTTCCTGTGTATTTTTTCCCCAGTGTGGAAGCAAGCCTGTCCACTGCTCTCCTGCTGCAGTTCCTGGCAGAAAAGTACATGCTAGTCTGAAAAGTACAGTGCATGATTCCTACCTGAAGATCTTGTTGATGGAATATGAATGGCACTATGCTTCCAAAAGCTACGAAAAGTCCAGAGCACTGCAGCTACCTGTTTTTATGAGTCAGGTAAGGAGGTAAGAGTAAAGACTGGATAAACTCTGTGACTACAGGAATCAAGGTGAGCTTGTAGTTAAGGAAAAAGGGATCTATACAACATAGCCTGTCTCACTGAGTCTCATGTTGAACCCACACCCCCAAGAGCCAACTATGGGTAACATAGGGCTCCAGTGACAACCATATCCTACCAAAGAAGCAGAGAGTATAAATAGCACACTAGACCCTCTGTCACTGGAGGACACGCAGTAAGGAGATGCAGAGGGAATCTAACTTTGAGGACTGAGACATGCAAGAGTGTTAATTTGGAAAATGAAGGGGAAATTAAGAACTGACTGGAATAGGCAATAAAACTATTATTAGTCACATTGCCTAAAACGATGTATAACTAGACGTTCTGACATATGTAAGAGCACCACTATATTCACCAATAGGAAAAATGTAACCTGAAACTTTATTCACAAAAGTAACAAAAAACATCACCCTATTGCTAATAAACCAACCAATTGGAAAAACGGTCCCATACTTTCCTGAAACAAATGATAATAATTAGGGCTGTAGGGCTCACTCAAAACAAGTTATTTTAGTCACTGGAAGAAAATGGGAGTTGGGCTGACAGTCACCACGTCACATAACCCACTTTTCTTGCAAGATACTAAGGACAAGATATAGATAGCAGCCAGTTTACTGATTCTTCTGCCAGACTGGTAAAAAGGCAGCTATGGATCAACATGCTTTGGCTTCATATTTTGGAAATATTTGTTTTTTAAATATCAAACTGTTTTTTTCAGTCACTGAGCAGACACAGTACCATTTACACACTTTTCTGTCAGAAATTCTGGCTTGTAAATGAAGTCCCTTGAAAAATGTGGAAAGGGTCACAGCTATACTGCTAATTTCAGTTCAGATTTACAATACTGTCATAGAATCATTGTACAGAAGTGGCATCCCACACTCCAAGGGCTAAGCAATGACCTCAACATGCACTCACACTGCTACCGATTTCAATGGTAGTTGAATACATATTTTAGAACAGGACTCAGAAACTTTTGTTTTACACAAGATTAACACTTTTCACTGCACACTATTTCACTCCCCCGAAGGCAGTTCAGTTATGCTGGAGAGCTATGAAACTTCCAGCTCCATTGCCTCAGCTGCAAACAAGAAATAAAAGAAACCATTTACATGTATTAGATAGCACTAAACAAATGTATTGATTAGGAAATATTTGGCAGGAGAATAAAAACAAAAGGTGAGGACCTTCCTCCTAGAGAGGAGTTTACCATTTCATTACACATGATGCCATTTCTTCTGAAAAGAAACATTTGGTCAACTAAGCAACCACCACCACTGACCAGTGAACAGGCTTACAAATGTTATGTCTTGTTGTGCTTCAGAGTGATGCTCCCATTCTATCCCAAATCATAAAATGTGAATGGCATTCAGAAAAAATGTACTTAATTTCAATGTGTGATTTAGTATCATTACCATTTCCCCACCTCTTCATAGAAGTTATGAAAAAAAGTTCTATAATGAATCCACCATGCATTTCCTCATTTGGCGTCATATATGCAGACTTTAGTTAACTGACCAATGTACATATTACATTACAACCTTACATTCTAGAGTTTACTATTTAACTTATACATGATTATTTTACTGTTTTGATTAAAAAGTGCTAACTCATGAAAGCATCATCTTGATTACACACCTCAGAATCTTCATCAGCCAAGTTTATTTTTCCCTCATTCAAGTCATTTTATATGTGCTGTTGTGGAATTTAAATTAGAAGCTGCAAGCCTCCATCTACAACTAGAATATGCCCTGTAATATAGGGAGACTCCAGAAGAAAGACAACAGCTTGTGCAACTTCATCAGGCTCTCCAAATCTTCCAAGAGGAATAGTTTTCTTCAACTGATCTTCTTTCAAACGTGCAGTCATCTCTGTGTGAACAAAGCCTAAGAGAAAAAAAATGTTTGTGACATAAAATGTAAGCAGAATTGATGAGAGTAGCAGTAGAAATCCGGAAGAAATCCTAGTATGATATAGTAGCTCTGTAAGATCCTTGAGTCCTATCCTTATCCAACGTAAAGTAAGTTTATGAAAAAACGTAACAGTTATTTCACTGGGAATCAATCCAATCTCAGTACAAATACATTGTACACAAGTACACACACACACACAATTACTCCTGAGTGCATTCTGCGCCAAAAAATTAAAAATTCTGCGCACCATATTTTAATTTTTTGCAAGTATTGTCAATAAATAAATGCAGAGGCTCCAGCATGGCAGTGGGGAGCACATGCCACTGGCTGCACGAAGGTGAGAGATCACCCTGCAGTCCCCCATCACCACCCACCCTTGAGACACGGACTCAGCGGTGAGGCTGCACCCTACTCTGACCTAACACAAGGCCTGGACCTGCCCCAGAAAATCCCTAGAACTCTGAAAATCGCCAGGCGCACCAAGTGTGGGGCAGGCAGGCTGGCTCAACCAGGCAGGATCCAAGTGTGGGGTGAGAGGGTTCTGTGTGGGACGATCTCAGTGGGGGGGTCTAGATGTGGGGGGATCTGGATTCACAGAGGTTCGTTGGGGGGCTTCCAAGTGAAGATGGTTGGATCTCAGCGGAGGGGTCTGGGTACAGCTAGTTGGGGTCAGGGGCATCAGGATATGGATGTGGGGCTCATCAGGATGGGGGTTTGAGTGCAGGTAGCTCAATGTGGAGTGGTCTGGGGTTAGGGGCAGAGGTCTGGAGGCAGGGGGTCTGGAGTCAGGGCGTTGAGGTTCAGTGGGGTGGAGTTCAGATATGGAGGGTTAGGGAGGTTTTGAGTGTATGGGGTGAAGCTTGGCGGGGTTGTCTGGGTATGGGAGATTCCAATGCAGGAGGATTGGGTACATGGGGGAGCAGCTCCCCATATAGTAATCCCTCACCCGCAACTGAGGAGCTATGGGGGCAGGAAGCAGGGGAGGTTTCTGGTGGTGGGTCTGGCACAGCCCCAACCACTCCTTGCAGGGGAATAAGTCCAGTCCTCTCCTGCCTCCAGCCTAGCTGGACTAGCAGCTGATCCCAGCTCAGGGTAGGAGCCATTGGCTGGGGTGTCTCCAGCCCCATGTTGATTTACCTCATGGCCGGCTGCTCCAATATACCTGCACTGCTAGGGAGTAGCGTGTGACTGCTCTTGCAGCTTCCCTGTCAGAAAATCATTTTTCTGTGGGGAAGCAAAGAAATTTGTGGAGCATGAATTCTGCACCTGCGCAGTGGCGCAGTATTTCCCCAGGAGTAATATATATGTATTTGTATGCATGCACACACACCCCCTCCTGCAACAGCAATCAACATATATTACAGTGGTTTGATATCAATGGAAACCTGTAATAACTTAACCATATCAGGTTTTTCACAATAAAGAGAGATTTCAGAAGCTGATCCTCGAAAACACATTATGTATAGTGAGACACACTGCCCCATATTCATCATTGTGGTATAATTATGACAGTTATGACACAATTATGATGCATCTTGTGCAAAATGTGTCATGTGAGGTGTGTATGGAAAGGTTTAATTTGCTGAATATGATTATCCTATTTGTATGCATGTATCATTTTTGTATCTAGAGTTACAAATATTGACTATGTATTTGTATTTCAAATGTGTTTACTCCTGGGTAACACCCAAAGGTTTGTTTGCATTCAGGCTAGCCAGCACATCATCAATGGCCTATTCAAATGGAATGGCCCATCAGCAAAGACAATGGGCCAGGGAAAATGCTTGTCCTCACCTAGGGATGCTTTAACTAGTCTATGAATAATGGCTGCTATGACTATGCAAGGAATGCAAGAGCATGCAACTAGACCATATAATACTGAACTCAATTTTGGTACCTCTATTTTTCCACAAATTGGGCTGGGAACCTGATTTGGAAAAAAGGGGTTCCTGATGTACAGAGAAACTATGTAAAGGTGGGGAGTGACTTGTCTTTACTCCCCCACAACTCAACATCTGAAAGAACCTCCAAAAGACAAAGGACTCAGAATGGGGGAGGAGACCCCAAGCTGCAAAGCATATCCAACTTATGCCTCAAGAATTTGCAAGCCTGCTTGTATCATCAGTCAGGGTGAGATTTGCTCATTCAAATCTATCTAGTTTGTATAAGACTTAGATTGCAATTTTGTTTGATTTCCTAGGTAACCTGCTTTGATTGGTTTGCTATCACTTAAAATCTATCTTTCGGTAGTTAATAAACTTGTTTTAGGTTTTATTTTAACCAGTGTGTTTTTAAGTGAACTGTCAGTGAATCTTGGCTTTGTTAGCGAGAGCCGCTGCACATCTTCCCCACATTGAGAAGCGGACTAATTTAATGAGCTTGCACTGTACAGAGAGGTACAGGGATACATTGGGATGGTGGAGGGGGTGGCTGAGCGGAGGCTCAGAGACATAAGAGCAGGGGGAGGGGGCGCAGGGCAGTGTTCCCTCTAATTTTTCCCCAACCATGTGCGGAATGAATTTTGTTAGGTGCACCAATACAGAGGTGATGTGTCACACATCACCTCCATATTGGTACACCTAACAAAATTAATGTTGCAGGGTGGGCTGAGGGGTTTGGAGTGTGGGAAGGGGCTCAGAGCTTGGGTGTCGGGGGGTGAGAGCTCCAGCTGGGATTGCGTGCTCTGGGGTGGTGCTGAGGGGGTTGGGGTGCAGTGAGGCTCCCTGGGACCACAGTGGGGAGAGAGAGGACTCCCCCACCAGCTCTTTCCCCCCAAAGCAGCAGCTGGGCTGGGGGTGAGAGGTGCCGCTCCCCTGACCACGGCAGGTCCAGGGCTGGGCTGGGTCAGGCCCGAGCTGGGTGGGGCTGGGGGAGGGGTACTGCAGCAGGTCCAGGGCTTGGGGAGAGGTAGCTCGAGGATGGGTGGGGAGGAGAGGATGTCTGATTAGGGGTAGATGGACATGTGGACAGGATGAAGGACACACGAGGCAGATGTGCCTGACTGAATGGGAGAGGCTAGGGGTCAGCCAGGGTCTGCATGTGAGGGAAACTCCCTAACAATCCCTCCCCAAAAAAACCTGGTGGGAAAAGTATGGAACAATACCCAACTACTGTCCAAGTTCACACCCGGGCTCCTTCCCAGTAATTACTTCCCTCTACCTCAGCTCCTCTGTTACCCCTAACGCCCCCTCCAACCACCCCAAGCCTTTGCACTGCTTCTGAGGAGTGCAGGAAATACAGTTCTGCACTGTCATTTAAATGAATCATTACTCTAAGTTATGTATTAATCTGCCTAGTAAGGAATTTATTTGTCTAAAAACATTTCCTGAATCTTTTTTGTTGTCTGCATTGTTACAGACATACTTGCTGACAGGTATTTTGAAATAAATTACCAAAATAATTGAAACTGATGTAATTATAGTGTGTTATTTTGACAAATAAAAAATGACAAATTTGGCAGAATTTTAAAGTATTGCATGCAGAATTTTTAATTTGGCACATACTGCATATACTCATTCATTAGCCCGTTCATTTATAAGCTGACCCCCCCAAGATGGATAGGTAAACATGGCATAAAAAAACAAACTGTATAACCCTTTCATAAGCCGACCCTGTATTTCAAGGGTTGGCAAACTTTAGCTCCCGGCCCGCCAGGGTAAGCCATGAGGGGGCCGGGACGTTTTATTTAGGTGTAGCGTTCACAGGCATGAAGGCCCTCAGCACCCCGTGGCCCTGGTTCACCGTTCCCAGCCAACGGGAGCTGCAGGAAGCGGAGCGGGCCGAGGGACATGCTGGCTCCCACTTCCCGCAGCTCCCATTGGCTAGGAACGGCGAACCGCTCTGTGCCTGCGAACACTCCAGGTAAACAAAACGACAACGTATTAAGATATTCAATTCGATAGAGCTTAAAATAGTCAAATTTTGGGGTAGACCCCTTGATAAGCCGACCCCAGCTCTTTAATGCTTTACTTTTTTACCAACAAAATTCAGCTTATGAACGAGTACATATGGTAATTTATTTTTTGTTGCATAATTCCCTAAGGAGTAATTATCAAAAGGTATAAAAAGTAGAGGTAAAGTGGGCTACCTCTAAGTAAACCCACACAAAGAAGTTTATAAATATCCTAACTGAAATGAATGTTATAGTTACTATAAAAATTTTATTCAGAAGAGCTTCTAGAAAAAACGTGCAGCTGGAAAGGTTTCAAACCTTTTGTTTATTTCTTAATGTTGAAATGGCAAATCCCTTTTGTGAAACACAGATTTGCAAATACTTTAGCTAAATACAAAGCTCCCATATCATTGCTATGTAAATGGTAAAATGTTTTGTGTACGAACATGGAATCTAATGACTTTGCTAAACTAATTACTATTCTGAGAAGCCATTTAAGTATAGAATATTTATATAATTATTTTTTCCCATTAAATTACTGGCATTGCTCAAGCAACTCTCTCATCTATCTTAGGAAGACAAGAAGAATCACCTTTTTGACATGATCATATTTTGGGGGGAAAACCCAATGACTTTTTAAATAATTATTTAAGCTTAGACTATCAGAATTATTTAACTAACTTAAAATCTGTAAACAGTTATAACACAAACAGGAATAAGGGTGGATAAAAATCAATAATTAAAAAAAAAATAAAAATATTTAAATAATTTTTTTTGACAAAATGCTTTGAGGAAAAACCTATCTAAAGATAGTTTTAATTAAGATATCTTTGAGCTATAATGTATCTCATCACAGAATAGGAATTATAAATTCTAATTCTATAGTATGAGACAATTTATTCATGTAATGTTTAAGAAAAGTTTTGTAAATGAGTTCCAATAATTCATGGATTCGGGACCCAATCTTATCGGGTTCCAGGGGCTTCTGTATAGATTATTTAGGTTGATCTTTCTATCTACCCAATGGGACTCAGTGCTCAGTCTAGAAGATACCATCAGAGATGCTTAGTTTTGCAGTTTT